CCGGTGTGCCCCCCCCCCCGGGCACAACTCCATCAAACAATTAAGTCTTGTAGGAATAATCCCTTGCCTTCCATCTCCGCGGTCCTTTTCCAACAAGATGTCCTGATGACCTGGCATTTCTTGCCCTCCAATGAAACGGTCGTCATGACGTATCCTAATAGAGCTTCAAAGGTCAAGATATTTGAGGGGAAAAAAATCCCAAATAAGCCACGTGGTCTCCATAGAAAACAATACAAACGTTGAAGCCGATTATGCATTTATTAGACCGTCGGGAAAATCAGATTGTGAGCTTTTGATGGTAGAATAGTCATGATCATCATCCAAGAATTGCAGAACTGGAAGGGACCTTTATGGGAGTCCAGCCCTGATCAAGGAGACCCAGAGGGGGAATCAAACTCCCAACGCTCTGGGAGATTAGGGTTTTTTTAACTACAGCATAATTCCCAAGGCAGTCCTGTCGTCCAAACCTATCCCTACCCCAGGCGATATATGGGACATGGGGCAGGCTGGAGGAAGAGAAGATAAAATAAGGACACCTTAGACTGGTTCCATATGTTTCATTAAGAACGCGAAGTTTCTCTTAGGGATCAAAAGTCCCACAATCCCCAAGGCTAATAGGTTCCGGGAGTCATGGTCCAAAAAAAGCGAACTACAGTAGGACCCCTGCATCCGTGGGATAAGCATCTGCCAATTCACTTATCCATGGTCTGAAAATATTAAATATATAAAAAGAAACATTCCCAGAAATCAATCAATCAATCAATCAATCATCAATCAGTCAATCTACCGTATACTGTATATAAATACGTACTGTAGTATACATTTCTAACCATGTAATTATCAGAACTAACCACTAGAGGGAGGCAGAGACCAGGCTACGTATCGCATTAGCAAGAAGCGGCGTTTTTCAGCATCCGCGGGGGGAATTGGAAGGCAGCCTCCGTGGATATGGGGGCCCTGCTGTATTGTAATTTCTGACTCTTTCTGACTCGCCCTCATCCACGTGTTCCGGGTAGAGAGGCTGGCTCACACGACCCTTGCAGTGTAGTGTAGCGTCCTGAAACTGTGTGTACGTGTGAAAGCGAAGTTCGCGAGGCCCTCCTGGCCACTCTAGACACGTGAAAACGATGGAGAGA